GCACCCGGCAGCACATGCTTGTTTATTGTCTAACATCATCAAAGGTGCAACAGACTGCAGCTCAAACCCACCACCCTCCTCCCACCATATTCCTTTCCCTCAAGATAAAAATAGTCACTTGAGGACTCTTCTTTTAAGAGGACTATTTTTATCTCAATACACTTTATAATTACTTTTTAGTTTTGTGTATATATTTAGTTTAGTATATTTATTTTTGTTTATTATTAGCACATGATAGACGCTTATAACGTGCATAGTTTTGAAATATAATATTACGCTCCTATACTGGGCATGTGTTTCTGTAAAGTTTATCTTCACATTTGATTTAAAAGTAAAGATGCCATTTCACGCTGTTGTTACATACATTACATACACTGTAATGCTTGTGCCTGTCTTCTCTCTGCAGAAGAAGAATGCCATGAAGTGATACCAACTTAGCTAAAACAACAGATTAGTGAACGCTCATGACAAATTCATGTTGTGTGTAGCTCCTACATGAACCTCTGCTCTTCTTTACTTTGACCTCAGAGACGTTTTACTGTGGTGTTGATCAAGACACCGTAGATGAATAACACATGTGAGTGTATACCTTTGAGTCAGGATGTGTGTGTATATACTGTATGTGAGGACTGTCACACCCTCTGGTTGTTCTCTGTCAACACACCACGGTAAAGCCATTCATAACACGCCACCATCCACTGCAGCGACAGCAACAGCAACAGCAGGACAGTCCCTGTAAACACCACACTCTGATTTGTGTTTGTGTGCACAGCAGGTGTTTGATTGTATCCCCATCACCCTACACACACACACACACACACACACACACACACACACACGCACGCATGCACGCACACTCATTCAGAGAGGCTCTTTGCAGCTTCCACAGTGGCTGGTGCCAGATGTTGGGATAGATGGATGAATTATTGATAATTGTCACAGACAAATGCAAATGTTGCTTAATGTTCCCCACATATTGCTCCGTGTGTGTGTGTGTGTGTGTGTGTGTGTGTGCATGCGTGTGTGTGTGTGTGTGCATGCGTGTGTGTGTGTGTGTGCGTGTGTGTGTATGAGTAGTTATGTCCATGTTGAAAGTGAGGGAGTGTCTCTCTGTGTATGAACAGTAGTTTTCAGCGGTTGTCTGTGTGGCAGAGCTGCAGTTATTGTCCAGGGTGAATCAGAGAAAGGAGTCAGCTTTGTAAAATACAGCTGTACAGATACTGTAACAGATACAGTACATCACCTGCTGCTATTCTGTGTGTGAATTTAGACAGATTTTCTCTTTCTCCCTTCATTTCAGTTACTATCACAGTATCTTCCTTTTTTTTTTTTGAATGAAGTTCTAGTCACAGTTGCGTTCATGTCATGTGGGAATATTCACTACAGTGAGTGTTAATGCATTCGCACTCATCAGACACACGTGGTAAAGCGTTCTCTGCACCGCTCGGCGTATTCACTTTCACACACGTGTAATCAAACACTTCTGTGTCAAATATAAACAAAATAAGCGTTTGTGTCATGTTGTTGTTAAATTCCCCCCACTGTGTATCATGTGAGCTAATTGCAGGTACACCAGAGTGTAAAATGTTGCTGACAAGTGAATTTGTGTCATCAAGCTCCAGAGAAATATAACACAAAGGTGTAATATACTGTGCAACCGCTCTAATGTTTCCACGATGCTAACATGGCTGTTGATTACTACGTGATTGTTTTTTATTGACTTCCATCAGTCCCTTGTCAAATTAGGGCCACCTAACCAACAGCACAGAATCAACTCTAATTGGACTTTAATGAGATCAAACTTTTCAAAAAAATGTTGATTTGCTCTGCGATACTGTCGCTGAATGAAGTTAGATTACCAAGCAGGCAGAGTAGGCTGCCCCCGCATCCGCAGACCCCAAGGGAACCAAAAGCTCCAGGCTTTCTGTGTTTTAACTAGTTTGTGCTAATTTTATTGAAAATTTTCTCAGCAATATACGGCATATGAGTAAAGTTCAATATTAATTGATGTGATGAGGGCCTGAAGGTGGGTCCTGCTTTATTGCACAATCTTAAAACCCTGTCTTAAAGGGTTTAATCAGCTTTAATCAATATTTTTATATTAACAATGGATGAAATTACTACAAATAATGTGACGGGGGTCGCTCTTAGTGAGTCTCATAAAGAATTATTAACCTTTGCAGTTACCCGCAGCTCTATGGAGCATTTTAGCACCTTTCATCTTTTTGTTTTTGTTTTGCAGTTTGTGACTTTACTGTCCGGTTCTCATCAGCATCGATTTTTTGTTTTTGTTTTTTGTTTTTTTCAGAAAAACCCACTGTACACAACACAACACATAGTGAAACATCTGGCAGCTAAAGAACCAGATATTTCCCTCAGACAGTGGTGGAGACCAAATCAGAGCTAAAAACACATTCGCCAGGTGTCTCCAAATCGGTGCTAACGTTACTTCATGTCTTAACTTTTGGCTCGCATTGTTCACCACATCAACTGTATAAGGAGATACTATGTCAATGTCGTGTTTACAGTTTGTTGTGCTACCCCAGAGTGGCCTTAGAAATGTAGTTTTAAGACCTTTATTATTAACCAATTCATTGGCCATACGGCTTAACCTTTTAGGGTCACATGGGGGCTGGAGCCAATCCCAGCTGGTGTTGGGCGAGGACTGGGGGACACCTTGGACAGGTCACCTGTCTATCATAGGGCTGACATATAGAGATACCTACGAGCAATTAAGAATCGCCAATTAACCCTACAACATGTTTTGGGATTGTGGGACAGTGTTAACCCCTGTACCACCTTAAAGTAATGTGCTTAATCAAATGACCACACAGTGAGTGTCTGAGGCCAGGTTACATTCTTGCATTAAAAACTGTACATATTACACAGGAAGGGGAATGCACAGGTTTCCAGCAGCTCTTTTGTTTTTCTACAGGGAAGCTTAGCGTGTCAGTCAGTCATGCTGCTGAGTGTATGGCTGTGTTTTGCATGTGTACACGGTCATATTGGCTGCATTTGCGGTTCCTCTTTGCCTATATATGCATGTCAGGCAAGACTGCACTTCCCTATACTACAGCCGGGCGTTGTGCTTGTATGTGTTTGTCAGATCCCATTTGTCCATTAGACTCCAGTGTTTCCTCTTCTCATTCCTGATGAAAAGCAAGGTACTTTTCCAGGCGGCGGCACTGCAGACATCTCGCCCAGCAATCTGAGGAAAGCCCTGCCGGTGGGACGTGAAGTGAGAGCAAGAGAGATGGATTGTTCTGCTGTGCGTATTGTACTAACAGGATCTTAGATAGCAGTCTCCCTCTCAGTGGGCAGGATTCACATTCAACCGCATATATACAGTGGCCAGAGAAAAGGATTTAGCAATACATATACAATTTAATTCCTCTGGAGATGCTTGGATTAATAGTTTTATATATATATATGGTGTGTGCAGCATGAGCATGATGTCTGTGTGTATAAATATCTGTGTTTGTGTGGGTATATGAGAGACAGAGTTTGTGTTTGTGTGTGTGTGTGTGTCTTGAGTGTGCAAAAGTGTGTGTCAGTGCTTTGATTGACGCCAGCCGCGCTTATATGTCACGGTGCAAGAAGTACATCAGCGGGATGTCAGGGAACGAGCTGCTTTTTTGACTCGATACATGATACATGAGCAGCTATCCATAATGAATGCTGCTGTGCCACTTATCTTATTAGCCGAACCCCCGCTTTCCAAACGCTCTCCCAAACAACACGCGTAGAAAATTGTATTTTTGCTCGGATGAAGAGGAAAAGCGTCTTCCCATGAGATGTCAGACTCATAATAAAGTATGTCATTCCTATTTCAGGGCTAGCTGCGCTGCTGTCGACTATTGTTGGCGTGTCTGCCGCTCGCGGGGAATGCTTTCTGAGGCCTAAGAGAGCGGATGCAGCGAGTGTCACGAGTCATCTCGAGCGCTGTCGGTTTGTTTCCTGCTCGCCGGAGTCGGGCGTCGGCGTGATGCGCGTGATGTGCAGGTGGCGCGGCGAATGCGTTTGCGCGAGTCCAATTGAATTCAACAGAGCTGTTCCTCGAGGAGTTCCCACCGTGATGCGGCGAGGCACAGAGACATCTGGGTACCTACTGACCACTTAACTGCCTGCACTCGTCAATAACTCTTTAAAAAGATCAATTAGGGCGATCAGTGGCGAGAACGGCGCCGGGGGGGCCGAGATGCCATATTGAGCTGTTTCCTGTGTGATGATGTCAGACACTGCTCCTTTTTCCCGAGAAAGAGGCCTCACCCCTCCGGACATTTGACTTCATTAAAGGGGTGTTCTCCTCAAACCAGAGCAATAAACTCAGCAATAAGCTGCTTCTCTCTCCTCGGCCTCGTCCGCGCCTGGAGAGGAGGGGGTGAGGAGGGGGTGAGACGGTGGAGAGGAGGGGGTGAGGAGGGGGGGAGACGGTGGGGAGGGTCCTCGCGGTGTCCAGCCAGCCGTCTCATTGAAAGTCTTCTGACTGAAACATCCAGCCATAAAAATCGATTTAGATAGCGACAGTTTCTTTCATTTATCGTTCACTCACCTTTTTTTTTTGCCCTTGTGAAATGTCCGTTTACACATTTTACACCCTGATTGATTACAAGCTGCTGTTTTCAGTTCATTGTGTTCTTTTATCCGCTCCCGCCGTGGCGCGCTTTTCGCCCTTCCGTCTCACCCGCGTCAGACAGGCGTGATAAATGTGGTTGTCATGACACCCAGTGAGCTCGCTGGAACCCGTCAGTGTGTCGAGTCCAGCCGCTGACGGACAGGCCGGTCCAGACCACGCTGACCTTTCACCTCCTCACCTTTCTTCCATGCTGATTATTAATCCTACTTACAGTGCACTTCCTGAGTCCCTCCATTGCAAATTAACCTTTCTCTTCTTCTCTCTCTCTCTCTCCCTCTTATCCCCCCCTCTCTGTCCTTCTTTGTCCCTCTTCCTTTCACGCCCCTTCCTCTTTTTCCTCCCCCTGTTATTCTCCCTCTTGCAGCAAACTTATTCACGTGAAAGTTATTGACGATGAGGAGTATGAGAAAAACAAGAACTTCTTCCTGGAGCTGGCCGAGCCTCGCATGGTAGACATGAGTCTGCAGAAAGGTGCTGTACTGAACCTATTTCTTTGTGTTTTATCGCTCTCTCTCTCTCTCTCTCTCTCTCTGTCTCTCGCTCTCACACTTTGTCAGTGTCTTTTCTCTCACTGTTTGTAGTCTCCGTCTCTCCCCAGGCGTCTTTGTCTCCTCTCTGTCACCTTCCTTCACCTGAACTTTCACTCCTGGAGCCCTAATAGGTGCCCTGTTCAACCCGTTGCTACCCTCTGCTTTCACACCGCTGTGCACCTGAGAACCCTCTCTCTCTTTCTCTCTCTCTCTCTCTCTCTCTCTCTTGCAGCCATGCTTTCATATTACATCTAAAACTCCTGGAAAATCATTCCCATCATAATGACAGTCTCCCCAGACGGCGTCATCGTCTGCATAGAGAACTGGGAGTCTAGGAGCTGATATAATTTACCATCCCTGCGGAGCAAGTAGCCATTATTATGAAAAGACACGTTTTGCCTAAAATGCACAGTCTAGTAGCCATTTTATTTTATTTTTTTACGTATACACGGCGGCTTGGGTGAAAAATTCAAGAAAATTGCTTCTTCTTCTTTTGTTATTAGACAGTATAACTCACAGGACTGTTTGAATTCACCAGTTTGTATGGAAGTGCAGCTTCACGACCCTAAACACCTGATAGCATCCTGATAGGATCTGGTGTGCCGCTTATATTGAGGTCATGTATTCTCTGGCAGGGGCCATGTTACTCACTGCAAGCTTGTATTCCTCTGCACAACAAGCGTGTCTCGAGGGCTCCTCTCTTTTGCAGCAAGGTGAATATAAAAATAAAAGTAGGACGTAGAAGAATTCAAATCAGAGCAAGTTTTCATCATAAGTTTTGTTTGTCGTCTTGTTTCCAGCTCGTCGTCGGTAATGTCTGCTGAAAGAAGCCAACAGGCATTTTCTTAAGATTCGCGCACCGTTATCTAATGCAGTGTTATCTAACCACGCTCAGGGCCAGGGGATGGGAGAGGCTCACAAGCTGGTGCGGAGGGTGCAGAATCTAACACTTGGCTGTTGCCTCCAAACACTACAGCTCATTATGTTTACGTTATTGGGTCTGGCAGCGCTGTCTGAGTGGTGCCGGCTCCCTGGGTTCTGAGACTAAGAGTCATGATGAAGAGCAGTTACTATGCAGGTCTTTATGAGTGACGGCTGCATCACTCCAAACACTCCTCCGCTGCTCTATGATGCTTCTTGTTTTTGTTTTTTTTTATTCCCTTTCTGTGTTGGCACAGGTTTTACCCACACACATGCTGATAGCTGCCTGTCACACATCTCATTTTGGCTGCTTGTAATATCACTCAACCATGAATTTAAACATTATTCCACTTTAGCATTTGCTGCTTAATTAGATGCCTAAAGTGTGAAATCTAAAATCAACAAATGTAAATATACTTGCATATAAATCCACAAATGTATGCACACTTTATTATTATACTGTTTAAATATTATACTGATCTTAACGCTAACTGTAAACAGACGTGAACTCGTAACTTAAAGATGATGAAACTTTTGAAAGAAGAAATAAAACTCTCTTCCTCTTGGAAATAAAAAGTTGAATTCATAATTAATAAAACGCACAATTACTCAATACAGCGTAGGATTTAGCTTGGTCTGGTATGACCAGTAGCTTGGCTTCCAAAGTTGGCAAGCAAACTTTAGCAAACTTTAGATAGCTATTGCTAGTTGTAACGTCACCAATAAACATTTGATGGTTTTATCACAACAAGACTCGGTCAAAACCTGGGTTAGGGTTAGGCCGACCATTTGTATAACCTTATCACTCAGTCACGTGGCCTTCGGCTGACCAATGATTTAACTTTATCACTCAGTCAGTCAGTCAGCGACATTCGTGTTTATAGGGTCAGCCCCACAGTTGCAGACAATATGTGTCATCTCGTTGCCAACTTATGTACTGTAATTGCTGCCTGTGGCCACAGCAGCTGCTGTTGAGCAAAAGTTTGACATCTTCTGTCCCAAATCACTCCTAACACACAAAATACTGAGTTAAATTTACTGTCCAACTTTAATGTGATTGTCTACATATAGTGTCTAATACCGAGTGTGTAATTTATGTACTATACCTATATAGTGCCCTCAGAAATAGCCAAAATAAAACAAGAATTTAGTCCCAATGGCATCTACAGTACTTTCTGATAACAACCCCACAATGTGATGGGCTGGATTTTACAGATGATCCAAAATTAACTACAAGTAACTTGTGGAGTGTCTGTTATATAGGGAGTGGGGTGATGGGAGTGATTTCAGACAGAACCATGAGTTCACATTTTCTGAACTCTTTCCTCATCATTCGACTCTTGTGAGGACATGTGTAGAGTGGTCACTGGGTGATTAGCCCTGCGGTCTCTCTCCGGTAGCCTCCTAAATGCTCCAGAAACATTTTTCCACCATTTGAAATGTGAAACAATTGCACTGCGTCTCCAGGTGCTAACAGAATAAAACATATAGTGCGAACACACACTCCATTCTTCGCACGTCAGTGCCGATGTTGGTTTCTGCAGCAGGACTGTTGAGTTGACTGCAGCGAACAAGGAGTCAGGATTGTAATGGACAGAATGGGTGTAGGGGAAGTGGAGGAAGAGAGAGAGATATCTGCTCAGACGGAGGGAGAGATGAGGATGGGTTACGACGGGTGGAGTTAAGGAAGACTCATGCCAATGGCCAGGTTTATTCTCCAAAGATCAAAATAGCTGCTTTGTTTGGGTCGTTCACTAACGGGGGAGAGAAAGTGAAACCCTCTGTGTTTTCTTCTGTCTCCAGGAGCTCGGCACTGTAATCCCCTATATTTTGTACCTATGTTATGTACAGTTAAGGTTATTTTTCTTTTATCTGTCATCATGGAGTGTAACACAGTGACACACCTCTGTGCCACTTCCCTGTTGACATATTGTGTCTGTTTATTACACAAACAGATTAAAATGTTTGCTCATTCTGATCTTGGAAAGACGACAACGCGACCGCGCCGCTAATGAAAGCGCAGGCGGTGTCTACAATGAGTAATACCAGATACATCTACTTACTTATGCTTAAATGCAGGAGGTAATGAATGTTTGATCGAGGGTAATAAATGTTTGATCAATATATGACGAGGAGGTAATGAAAAAGCTTTTCTGTATTATTTCCCGTGCAGGATCATCTTTTATGAATGTGCCCGTGCTGATGAAATCGCTTTGATTTGAAATTAGAGAGAACACAAGCCAGTGTTGAGCAGAGGGGTTACACATACTCTCCTGTTGCCGCAGTAGATGCCGCAGACATCGCAGGGGTGTGAATGATATGATAATTTCTCACTTTTCATATATAATGTGGCGATTATATTGTTGTTCATAAGCACTGGTGTGAGGCTGATTGGCTTTGTTTTTCTCCTTATTAAAGCCGGGGTGGAGGAGCTGGATTGATGAATATTCTATGAGTCTTTGTTTTGTTTGTTTGTTTGTTTTGTTTTTTTCTTTTCATATGCAACAGCCTTGCTCCATTTTTTTTCACCAACGATACTTCGCAACAAAAACAAAAAAACGTAACTCTTGTTTCTTTACCTATTATCTCTCTATTATGGATGATCAAAGCAGGAACACAAAAATAATCGTCAGATCTCATTTGAAGTCTCTGATCTTTTTATTTATTACGAGCAGTTACATCACTGATCGCAAACGTTTGTAGATTTGCTCATACACTACGACGCTGATAGCAGAATCTGGGAGATGTGAGTGAGTCCCAGGCTGGCAGGTCTGACTCTGGACAGTGTGTGAGTAATGAAAGCAATCAAGCCAACAGTCACCCTGACCTGTCAGTCTGGAGTTGTTTACTGCCGGCTCCAGCTATGCCCTTCTCTAACTTATACAGAAGTGGTCAATACCATTAGCACTTCTGGTGAGGTGGCCCGGCGAGCCGCCACTCCACAACTACTGCTGCTGCTGCAGCTGCTGCAGCAGCAGCACAACGCTGCAGAGTCGGAGTGAGACTCACGTCCACGTTGGTCCAGGACAGAACAGGATTTTATTGAAGTGACTGGGGTGCTGAGGCGTGTTGATGTTCATGCCAGACGTGTGAAGTTTTTATTCAAGCTGTGAAACATTTATTTGTCCTATTTTATTTGGGCAGTTGTCAACGATTCACGAGGGAAACCTGTATTTTCAGGTACACCTGAATCTTTTTCAGCTCTATTCAAACACAGACATATCCCACTTGGTCTGTGGATAAATGATGATTAGTAAACAGAGACACACTTTATTTTAAAACATACAGTTATGTGCAGGGTTTCTGCAGAATGACAGTTACCAAACAGCAAGAAGAATTCTTACTCTCAAAAGAAACAAATGCAGATGCACCTTGAAGCGACTATATGATTGAATATGCACATTTTCTATTTGATGTTGTCTTAGTTTTCATGAATTTTGTATCATTCAATATCAGCCATCTTTGTTTTATCTATTTTTAATTTTTTTCATTTGGAACTTCCTGTCATGATTGTATTAATGTTTTATTTGGACATTTTTTTTAAATAAATTTTTTATTGTATTTCCTGTTATTTATAAAACTTGAACCCAGAACCCTGTGCATACGTATACAAGAGTGAGTACCAGTATAGATATTACTGATCATAGTGTATATCTCCATACATCTTCATATATGCTTGCATATTTATACATTCATGTACCCACATGTATAAACAAACACAGAATTGTGTGGATAATTAGAAACTGCCATGAGTGTTTTGAATGAACTGGAATTAGTATGGAAGTATGGAAAGGTCAAAAGAAGCAAACAGACAGGATTAAGACCGTTAGCCAAAGTAAGAGAAATTGAATTTGATTTGCTTTTTTTGATAGAAAAATCCCAACCGTCGCTGAATGAGGGATTATTAACTGTTTACAACTCCTGGTTTTCTCTCAGTGCAGCAGTCTGACTTCAAACCAAGCAAACTTTGCCATTATGGGGTCAACCAAAGAAAACTGTGGCTGTGTCCTTTTTTCTTTCTTTTTTTTTTTAATTTAGTAGTTT